GAAGGGGCCGCACACCCGGAGTTTACTGTGTGCTGAGTCCGTCGTCTCTGTGAACTTAGTTCTTCCTCTTCACAAGAGCCATTTGGGGTAGATCTTAGGGACCTCAGGTTCAGAAAAGTTAAATAGTATATCCAAGGTCTGACTCAGCTAATAAGCCGTGCAAGCTGACTTTAGAAACTGCTTCCAGTTCTTCTTCTTCTTCTTTTTTTTTTTTTTGTTTTTGTTTTTTTCCAGTACCGGGAGCCGAACTCACGACCTCGCGCTTGCCAGGCAGGCGCTGTGCCGCTGAGCTAAATCCCCAGCCCCTTCTTTTTTTTTTTTTTTTTTTGACATCCATTTATTTATTTATTTATTTGGCGCTAGGGATTGAACACAGTGACACCCTACTGCTTTACGTCCCCAGACCGTGTTTTTCCTTTTCCTAAGATAGTATCTTTCTAAGGTGCTGAGTTACCCAGGCTGGGGCTTGAGCTTGTGATCCTGCGCCCGCCTCCCAGAGTGCTGGGACGACAGGTGTGTGTCTGACTGTGAAGCTGCTTTTTAAATAGATAAGAGTGATTGAAATGCTGATGGAGAGAGAGGGGGAGAGAGCAGCTCAGGAGTCTTCCAGGGCTTGTAAGGGAGCCATGAAGGGAGCCATGAAGGGAGCCATGAAAGGAGGGTCCTTTGTAGTAGGACCTCGGCACCAGTGCGTTCTGTGGCTCCTCCAGCACTATCACACGCCCCCCTTCACCTTGAGAAGGGATTCTAGGTCTGGAGAGATGGCCCAGTGGCACCCTGTTGGGGGGTAAAAGTATCCTAATGTCACCCATTCTGCTGGGCTGTGTCTACCTGCTTCAGCTTCAACCTGAACTCTTTTGTTTTGTTTTCCTCTTGTTTTTAAGTAGTAGCATCTGTTTTATTTTTCACTGACCGCTGGAAATAATAGCTTACAGTTATTTGTGTGTATTGTCTGCCAGCGCTTAGGTCATCTCTCTTGCTTTTTTTTTTTTTCTTTTCTTTTTGTTTTTGTTTTTGAATTGACATCGCAGGCCAACCCAGGACACCCAACCCAGGCTGGTCTGGCACTCGAAATCCTCCTGCTTTAGCTTTCAGAGTAGCTGGGATTACAGTCGCACATCACCACCACACCCGGTTAGGTCATCTCATTGAATACTTAGCACCCTGGGTAGGTTGGTATTATTTGCTATTATTAGTGGTGGGGAAGCTGAGGGTTGGATAACTTGTCAAAAGTCAATCAGCTAGGATGGAGTGGAAGTGGTCTGTGAGATTCCAGGGCCCACTTCTGTTCCTGGCTTCGCCTGCTCACCACCAAAGCACTCGAAGAAAACAGGAACAGAGAGACCGATGTTGGTGGACGGTTCTGTCCAGGCCTGGAGGAGTTGTTTCCTGTAGCAAGTTCTACCTGCATGGTCAGTTTCTGTGGCTGTGTGTGTGTGTGTGTGTGCATCCAGCCTGCATCCACCTCCTCACGTTCTTCATGGCGTAACTAAGCCACGTGGATCTGGCTCCCTGCCCTCCTAGTGACACTCAGAAGCTTGGGGCTTGAGTTCTAGCTGTCCCTGTGCTTGGTGGTGGAAGGAGCCCGTCTGTCAGGTGGGCCAGTCGGGTCTGGCGTGTTCTCCCTGTGCATTTGGCTCTGAGGTGATGTGGCTAAGATCTTTGTTTTTAATCATAATATTTCACATCTTTTCTTTCCATGCTGGTCAGTGTGAGCCCACTGGGGGTGGTAGCAAATCTTCCTTTAATTTCTACTGTGATGGATTATTAGTTCACTTAAAATACTGTTTAATCTATACATGTGCCTGGAGGCTTTTAAATATAGAGCACATTTGATTATTGTTGGAAACCAGCTTGGATTCCACAAATGCTCTGTGAGTTAGACTCATGAAGCCATGGACCCTGCGGCTCTGTGGACAGGAACCAGAGTCCAAAACTTCAAAGTGGTGAGGTCTGCAGCCCTAGACCCCGAATTCCCTTATTTATAGGAAATCCATCTATTTTATTTTCTTCTCTAAGAATCAGCTTTTAAAATTTTCCCTAAAATGGGAGGCAGGCAGCACTAGCTGTGACTTCTCAGGCCCTGGCTTGCCTCTTTTCTCTGCCAGCCAGCCTGCTTCCCCTTTCTGCCCCTTCATCTTTTTATTTTATTTTATTTTTTCTGTCTTTTTGAGACAGGGTCTCGCTGTGCAGTTCAGGCTGGCCTTGAGCTCACTTTGTAGCCCAGGCTGGCCTCGAACTCGCAACGATCCTCCTGCCTCAGCCTCCCGAGCGCCGGGATTACAGGCATGTGCCACCACACCCAGCTACTCCTTCATCCTTAGTGTTCCTTCTAGCTTGTCCAGGACTGGTTGCAGGAGCTGCATTTTCAGCAAGACCCTTTTTTCTTTTCTCTCTTCTAGGGAAGGGATCACCACTTTAGGATGCCTGTGAATTCCCATTGAGGAACAACGGGGCCAGGGTGAGTCCTTCATAGCCAGGACTAACGCCTGCGGTTTCAACTCTGCAGGGTTCTCTAACACTAGACAGCCCAGGCCATGCCCACGCAGTGGAGTTTTATCTTATCTTTATATGCCCAGAGCCATGATGAGGGATGAATGAATGTATGTATGCATGGCTGTGTGTTTGTGACATATTGACATTTAATACAGACTGTAAATGCTTGTTCTGCAGAAGGTAACTGAGGAAATTTGGGGATTTGGATATGAAGCTGAGAATAACCAGAAACCTGCCTGTGAACTTTTTTTTTTTTTAGTTTCCTACAGAAGAGAAGTGAGAAAAGAAATAATTGTACTCCAGGGAAATGCATAATTTAGAAGCTGTCTGCATGCATAAGAAAACAGACTCTGTAGCTGCTCTGTAAACGTGGAGAGGCAGCCAGGGTCATTGTTTCCCTTTCTCCCCTGGGTGTTTGTGTAAAAGATGGCCCAGTGCTTCCCTCGCTCCTGCGCTCCTATGGGGGCAGCGAGGCCCTGGCCTTCAGAAGCGTTTGGCCCTGGGGGAGCACCCTGCTCACTTTCCCTCACCTTCCTGGAAAGCCTCCTTCCTGACAGGGGAACAGAGCATGGAAAGGTTGAGGGTATTTCAGGAAACCCCAGCGGGGGTGCCTGGCTCTTTCTACCACCTGTAACCCTTCAGCATCCCATAGCTTTGGTTACCATGGGCCGTTGGCCCATCCTCAGCCCCTGCCTCCATCTGAGGGACGTTCAGGGGGTCTGGTCCAAGGGTTCACGCATGTATTTCCTGCCCTGTGTCCTATGCGCTCTAAGGCAAAGCTGAGGGAGTCTGTCATTTCTCCTCTTCATGTCCTTCACGCATTTCTATAATGTTCAGTTTAACTTGATTTCACATCTTTAAAGATAGCAGGGGAAGACCGAGCAGGGATGACTTTATAGGTCTGAATCCCCAGAGCACCTCACCTATAGTTGGTCACCTTGGCTGCGGAAGGAACATATTCTCCTCATGGGGTAAGGCTTAGTGACCACTGTTGTCTTTGAGCCCAGGACTTGGCAGTTGTGTTGCCACACTCCAGAGTCTCAGGAGTATGAGGCGGGGGCCAGGAGGTGAGCAGCTTCTCTTTGATAAATCTGTTGAGGTGATGTGGGTTTGAGGGGTGGTTATTGGATTTTTTTGTTTGTTTTGAGACAGGGTCTCTGCAATCTAGGCTGGTCTTAAACTTGCAGCAGTCCTCCTGCCTCAGCCTCCCGGGTGCTGGGATTACAGGTATATGGCACCACACTTGGCCTGTTTAATTGATGGGGATTTAATTGAGCTCTTTAGACCTGAGAGTTTTTGTTGGCTGGACTAAATGTGTTTTTTCAGTGCTGAGATTTGAACCTTGGCCTCATGCAAGGGTTCTACCACTGAGCCACACCACTCACCATAAGCAGGTTCCTTTTGGAAGAGTTGATTTCAGTGAGGTTTAGAGGAGAGGGAAGACTGGTTTGCAGGCTTTCTCTTAAATGCACAGATGGCTGGGTCCCAGACACAATGCAGCGAGGGAGATCTGATTTTGTTTTTCTTCCCTGTCTCTAAATAATTTTATCTTCAAAGCATGACGCAGGTGTTAATTAACACTCAAGGCTCTCCTGGGAGGTAGGCAAGTGGGAACATCACCCCCATTAGTGGAGCCCAGGGAATAGATGGGCGCCAGGGCCCCGGCTTAGGTGAGCCCGCGAGGAGCAGCGCCTCGGGCCCCTGCCCTCTTGCTCACTGGGTCGCCCTGGGAGCTGCCCCACGATCTTAGCGTCCCTGGGCCCCCTAGAAGAAGAGAGCTGAGGAGGGGCTGGAGGTGTTTGGTACTGTGGGACATGGGTGGGACACTTGAGGGTTAGGGAGAAATTCTGGGAAAGTGCACTCTCCTTGTGATTGTCCGTTGTCAGAGGCTGTGAATATACCAGCAATTTTATTCATTTACTGACCTTTCTCAAAAAGCAAGCTGGGCATCAGGTTCTGAACAAGGCATTGCAAAGGGAATCGCTTCTCCCAAGCAACGGAGAAGTCGACCCTTTGGGTCCGGGGCTCAGTTCCGAGGCAAGGCGGTGCGGGTTAGCCGGCTGCGCAGGCAGGTGGCGGCTGCAAGAGCAGGGCTGCCCCGGCATCTGGAAATGGTAAGAGCCCACGTGTGACTGTTGGGCCCTGAGCTGTCTCCAGCAGCTGCGTGTGGCATAGGTGTCCTCAGAGGCCTTTCCTTGGGGCTGTGCAGAGCTGTCTTCAGTTCTGGCCGTCGCCAGGGGAAGGGGGCGGTACTGGTTTGCTAGGTTCCTGGGTAGCTCCCGGAAGTGCTGAGCTGATACCGAATCTCCAATCTTAGAAAAGCAGTAAGACTGGAGAGATTTCCATTACATCCATTGGGCGGCGTGGGCCCAGTAAGAAACAGACGAAAGGGGACCATTTTATCCTGGCTGTGTTGTGCCTCTGGGTGACACTTGGACTCTGCTTGTTTTAGAGGAAGACTTGCTCCATTCGCTAATGCTGTCTCCCTTGCCTTGGCATTGCAGGCTGCTGAGAACCAGCCCGAGACCTCTGCTTGAGGGTCCTTGCTCTGAAGACGTTACCAGTGTGTGGAGCCTGCCCCACACCACCCCCTGCCAAACCACGGCCTTTACCTGTGTCTTCCGGTGTTTCCCGTGCGACCCGTCCTGTGGGAGGGCCTCGTGGGCGGCCCCAGAGTTCTCTCCACGATCAGCGGCGCCAATGGTGAAGATGACAAGATCCAAGACTTTCCAGGCATATCTGCCCTCCTGCCACCGGACCTACAGCTGCATTCACTGCAGGGCTCACCTGGCCAATCACGATGAACTAATTTCCAAGGTACATGCTCAGTGCAGACCTTTCCTGCCAACCCCCGGGGAGGGCACTTCTGGCTGTGGAGGTTGCAGAGGTTACGAGCTCTCTTGAGACCAGGATACTGTTCCCACCTCATGTACAGGGACGGCTGGCCTGCGTGCCTGTCTCGCTTAACTGAGAAACAACCAGGAGCTGTAGGACCAGGGTTGTAGTTTACTTTTTTGTCTTGGAAATGAGAGACCATCCTTGTTGCAAGGATGGCAGCTTGCAGGCCAGAGAAAGGAGGGGCTAAGGAATGATTGGAGCCTTGTGCTCGGCTTGCTTGGTTTAGGTTGGCAGGGCCGGGGATATAGCTTGGTGGCATAAATGCCTGCCTGGCAAGTGCAAGGTTCTGAGTTCGATTCCCGGTACCCAAATAAAACGCCTGCCTGCTTTAGGTTGGCAGATGAATTCTGTGCAGAGGGCTTTCTGTTTGGACAGTGAATTTGAAGAGCAGTGGGGTCTTGTAGAGGGTTCACTGTTGTTTTGGTTTTGCACCTGGGGATTGAATCCAGGGCCTTCCCTGTGCTAGGCAAGGGCTCTATCACTGAGCGACACACTTAGCCCCGTTTTAGAGGGTTTCTTAGCTAAAGCCAGAGATCCTTTGGCAAGCCTCAGGGAGAGCTGTGAGGCCAGAGCATTACCAAAATGAATGGCCTTTGGAGAGGAACAGAAGTGGCCTTTTGAGGAACTGACCCACTGGCCTGCAGAGCCCTTTAGGGCTTTTCCATGCAGTAATATGGAATGACATTTGGTTATGATCAGAGCAGCCCTGTTTCTTCCTTTAGGAACCTCAGGAACTGCTTATAAAGTTGAGGCTGGGGGTCACTAAGAAATAAACAAACCCAAGACTTCAGTTGTGCGGTCTAGGAACTGGATACTGTAAGCTTCATTCTCAGGGGAGCTTCCTCCCTCCCGGCCCTAGATTCCCAGGGGAGGAGAAACTGGTTTTACTGGACTGAATGACAAAGAGAAAAAGATCACGGGAGACTTTTCCCTTAAACAGCATCTTTCTTTCATGCCATTAAGGGAAAAACAAACTTTTATGCAGACCCAGGCTAAGTTGTTGTTGTTTTTTTTTTTTTTTTTTTTTTAAAAAAAGGTGTTCCTGACCTATTTACAAGAAGTGTTGGAAAAGGTGCTTTGCTTTCTTTGCCTCTGGTTTGGTAGCCTGGGCCAGAGAGGGAGGAGGGCTGCAGGCACCAGGTGTAGAACATTCCTGTCCAGCGGGCCGAATGGACGCAGGAAGTCTGTGGCAGCAGGGACTTTTCAGCCAAGCCTGGGGACTGAATCCCTCATTTCAGGCCTGTTCGTTCCAGGGTGCAGAGTCCTCTGCTATCTAGAGCCCTCGAATTCCTGGCCGGACTTTGCCTCTGCCCCACTTTCCCTTCTCTGCTGCTCTCCTTCATGCTATTTCTGTTTCAGTCGGCTTGGCTCCTTTATCAGCTGATCCATCTTGTCTTAGATTCCCGTTCAATTTTGGGGGAACCTCTTGTCTGGAAATTTGGATAGGGAGGCTGGTCAGAGACAAGACCAGCCAGTTCTCTGGGCATTGGAAGGAAGCCTGTAACCTTGGAGGGAAATTGTGAGTTTTCCCTTTTGCGGGGTTGGACATCTCCAAAGAAAGTGTTTGCCCATATGTAAAGGGGAAACCAAAACATCTTTTTAACACAAGGAAGACAAGGTATGCATCATAAAAAAGTGAGGTGCCAATGACGTGTGTTTCAGCCCCTTCTGTACACTACAAACTGCTGCTTGACACGACAAGGCCGTCTCACTTAACTCTCCTAAGAATTCTTTTTTTTTTTTTTTTGGTTTTTCTCCGGTACCAGGAACTGAACTCACGACCTTGCGCTTGCCAGGCAGGTGCTTTGCCGCTGAGCTAAATCCCCAGCCCCTCTCCTAAGAATTCTTTAAGGTAGGAGTTAGGCATGTCTTACACCGATGGAGAAGCTGAGGCTCATAAAGAGTTGTCCAGAATTTCAAATTAGCAAAGAGCATTTTTGCTTGGAGCAGGTATTCAGAGCAGGATTTCTGGAAGAGGCGGTTACTTGAGCTGGTCCCCGTGAGGTGGGTAGAAGTGGAGCATATAGAGATGGTCACAGCCTTCAAAGTCTGTCGCATCTGTCTGGCTGGGTGTGCAGGGCTTTGACATCTTGCAGGGCCTGGTTTCTGAGCTGGGACTCCTGCCGCTTCCTCACTCTGTGTCAGCCACTCCGAATCAAGCACGATTCTCTGAATATGCGGCTAAGGGCATCTCGGGCCTGTGGGCCTCTGCCAGGAGTGCGCCCCCACCCTTCCTATCCTTGGGCCACGTCTCCAGATCCGAACCTCACTGTGGCAAGAGCTCAGTCAGTGATCAGATAAAGGGACAGATGGAGCTGGAGCTTCTTGCCCCAGCAATGAGCGAGAAGACAAGTCGCGAGCAAAAAAGGCTTCATTAGCCTCGTGTTCTGCTTTCTGCCCCCGTTGGGGCAGAAAGGCTCATTCACAAGCCCAGGCCAAAGTCAGCACAGGCTTTGGTTTCATTGGCTGCAGCCGGTGCACAGATGGGGTGCATTAGAGCTTGATGATTTAAGGAGCCGGGTGAAATGCCCGGCTGTGGGGAAGGAGTGAGGGAGCTGTGGCGAGTGTCGTACAAAGATTCCTTTATTTTGCTCCGCAGCCGCCCCCGGCATACATAATCTATAGATTCTTATGCAGGTCCGTTAATGGAAAGATCATCACCCCAGCCCCCTCCTTGGAAAATGGGCCTTTCTTTTCATTTTTTTCCTCTTTTCCATTTAAGAAAGTTCAAGGAGAGAATGTCCCTCCTGTTCTCCCCTCTTGACTTAATCTCCTTGGGTTTCAGAATCTGCCCAGTGGGAGCAGGAGCTGGGAAACAGATAGAGAGCTGGCAGCAGTGCAGTTAAAGGACACTCTGTAACCTGTAACTGGGGCCTTTGGTCTGAAAGCTTGACAGTTGTTGGGCGGGGGCAGGGGGAGAGACCTGTTTGCCTTCATTGTGGAGAAGAGGACGCAAGGGTCCAGGGAACTCCTGCCCTAGTGTGTGGCCGGCAGAGGCCTGGGAGGAGCCCGGGACTGCGGGCCTCCCTGGCAGTGTGGCTGAGCCTGCGTGGAAATGTGCAGTGCAGTCTGAAACAATCGAGGTCTATATTTGTAGGGTGGTGGAAAGAATTCTGCACTAGGCCTCCTCCCTTCCCAGCTGGCTTCCCATCCCAGAGGCCTCGTTGCCTGCTCTCTAGGCAGTCAGCTCTCCAGCCTCTGAGTCTGTTTCTCCCTCCTCAAGTGGGCAGAATACCATTTGCTGTGTTCAGTGTTGTCTCGTACACTCAGGCTGCTAGGGCAAGTGGTCGTAGCGTTGGTGGCTTGTGAGCAGCGGACATTGAGTTTTCATAGTTCTGGAGGCGGAAAGCCCAAGAGGAAGATGTTGGCAGATTCAGTGTCGGGTGTGGGGCCACCTTCTGGTTCACAGATGGTTTCTTCTTGCCGTGGCTTTGTGTGGTGGAAGGAGCTGAGGGCTTTCTCGCTGGCTTCCTTGTAAGAACGCTAACCCCACTCACAAGGGCTTTTTACCTTCATGACCTAATAACCTCCCAAAGGCCCCATGTCCTGATACCATCATTTTGGGACCTGGGATTTGTTTTTGTTTTGCTTCGCTTTTGGCTTTTTTGAGACAAGGTCACTATGTAGCCCACGCTAGCCTTGATTTTGAGGCAGTCCTCCTGCCTCAGCCTCCCTAGTGCTAGGATTGCAGGTGTGTGCCACTGCGCCTGGCTGGAAGTTGAGATTTCAAAGTGAATTTTTTGGGGGAGCAACAGGACACACATTTGGAATGCAACAGATGGCTAGCACTTAGTGTGCGCTTGCCCTGTGCCAGCCCTGTCACAGCCCCGTGCGGCGGCACGCCTCACTGGGAAAGGGCGCAGGGTTACCTCACTGGGTTGTTGTCAGGCTCAGATGAGATCATGGATGTGTGGGTGGTTTGCAAATTAAAAGGTTTATGCAAATATGAAGTAATTTGCTTCTCTTGGTTTTACTGTCAAAAAAAAAAAAAGTGGAAGGAAGGGAATACGTTGGAGGGGGGATTGCCCGCGCTGCAGGCCAAGATAGCTTTGCGTTAGATTTGGAGCAGAGGAGTTGGATGAGGCAGGGGCACTAGAGAGCTAAGCACATAAGGCTGGCATGTGGAGGTGAGTAGCAGAGCTCTCGCCTAGCATGCGCAAGGCCCTGGGTTCAGTTCCCAACACGGGAAACGCACACACGAGCACACAGAAGTTTATTGTGTCTGTAGAGGGAGAAAGGTAGCAGCCTCTCCTCTGTAGGAGTTGGGGGAAGCTTTGAATTGATCATGGAACTATCTGGGGAATGTGCTGAGGCGTCCTGCAGTTTCTGTCTTAGGGGGTGTTATGGTCTAAGCGCTGGAGTGTTTGCATGCAGAAATAGTTTGAGTTGGCACGAGGAATTGCTCACACTGTTGTTTCTTTCTTTATGGTGCCAGCCCCAGTATAAAAATATGCTTTGATCCAACTGAAGCTATTATTATTTTATAACCAGTTAGCTGCCTTGTGTGAGAATAATCTAAATCAGCGGCACCAGCTCGTACGGAACCCTGGGTCCCAGTCAAGCGTTGTCTGTGGTCCTTCGTCTGTGGTCCTTCTTGCCGCCAACCCCGCAGAGTTGCGTAGTCATTTGGGAGTGGCGCATGAATTAAGTCTGTCACAGACTCTCTCTGGGGACTTGTGACTTCATTCCAAGGCACAGGTGGCCCTGTGCTCTTGGTCCTTGAGGAAAGGCGTCATCGGAGGCTGTAGATTGGCCGTCCGGGGCAAGAGGAAGGAAGAAATGTTCTGCTTATCCTCCAGTACTATTTGTGGTTGTTATGTCAGCTTATCTTCTGAAACAAGTGCAGCACTCCCAGAACTGCCGATCATCTGGTGCCAGCTCCTCTTCAGGAGCAAACAGTGACAGCCGGAGGCCCCTCA